TATTTCTTTTTATCCCTAATTCTAAATTGATATGAATTAGTTTTTTCACCTGAATGACTGAGGACAGGCGGATACCCAGTTGAAATTAAACAAAAGAAATGAAATGGAACTCTTTGTTAGAGAAGATAAAAAAGCCAAATTGGTATATTTGAATTGTCTACATCTGTTTCTATGGGCTTTAAAAGTTTAATAAAGGTGCATAATTTAGGATTTTATGCATCTTATATACGTGTTTTTACTTAAATTATAGTATGGAGCTTCGAGATATTTGTAAACTTTTAAATTATAGACAAATTTCATAAAACAGTCGATTGTGGTAGGTGCAAATACAAGTGGATCTTTTTTGTGCATAAGCCTAAATTCCGCCGAAAAAAATCCACATGAAGATAATAGATTGATATTTTAAAGCATTAATTTGCATCTCTGCCCCCGGCGACAGTTTTTGGGAAAAAATTAAGCTTCAGGTTGATTTAATAACACTAAAAATTCACAGTACTAAAAAAATGAAATATATGGGTCAAGTGAAATACCTTTCTAATGAGTCATAACAACAGAGTAGATGTGTTCGAATAACAAATTTTTACTACAAGTACTTGACGACTGACTTTCCAAGTGGATCTTAAAAATGCATAACTTCAAAATAACTTATTTTTGTGTGTGTGTTATCTAGGGTTATTAGTCTTCAACCTCTGAAATTTTTTAGTCTGCTCTTCCACGAAATATTTAATTAGAATTTTTTAAAATGTTTTTGAACTTTCGATAAATTTATCGGTTTTCAAGAGCTAAATTGGCAGCGCGTCATCACTACAATGGCTCCTATTTTTACGATTGTAAAAATTAGCTGGCGGAATGGGGAGATAATTTTGACGAAGTAGAATCCTGACTGGACCGCTTAAAAAGTATGTATCCCTCCGAAACATAAATACATTTACTCATGACGGATACAAGTATCATTTATTGGCATACTAACGTTCCCGCTAATATAATTGTTGGACTGCATAATAAGCAATATTTGTTGACTTAGAGAATTGACTTACCCATTGAATGGGTTGCAATGCATGATGGACTACTACGTACTTTATCGGGAACACGCGTGTTTTTCAGTGACCTACAACTCACTTTTTCTTCTTTTGTGTCTACGTTTAATAAAGGATAAGTTGTATGCTCAGATTAAAGTAACAAACGGAGAGCTGATGAAGTGTAACACCTGATAATTTGTAGTTTATTAGACAAACAAAACCCTGTAACAGTGTTACAACCTATGTGTTACAATTAATCTGTTTAGTATGAGGCTTTTGGTAAATTATCATACTACCAAGATATTATGAACACATTATTTAATGCATGGATAGATTAAAAAAATTTAAGTACAATTCTTAATTAGATTGTTGGGATTCAACTGCTGCAATTAACAGGTCGGGACATTTCCAGGGGCGGATTTAAGTGGGGGGAGGGGGGTGGGGTATGGATCTTCATACATGGTAAATGCATAGACTTTTTGCATGTCCTAATCACGTTGTCTAGTTTGCCCCCACCCCAACCCCCTTTGCCTTTTCGAATTACTGGATCTGTATATGATTTCCTTATACGGATAATGCAATATTTAGCGTTCTATTGCTTCCGCCAATGCATGTATCAGTGTTTGTTTAAGATTAATGCATTTTTTCCTGAGCAAATGACCGACCAGTCCATTGAATGAGTTGCAATGCATGATGGACTACTATGGGTTTACAATAGATTGTTTATAACTGCATGACATACAACACAATTTTTAACACATTGCCGAAAAAAGAATTCATCTTTATATATACCTTTTGTTCATTTGTGTTCACATTTATGGTACAAAATAAAAATCAACATGTTTTACATTTAAAATATTTTTTTATAATTTGATGATATTAGCTCTGCACATTTATTGTTATTTCAAGTGAAACTGTTGGTGTAATGATAAGAAGAATGTTTAAAACAAATTCCTTTTAAATTTTGTTGAACGAAAGTTTAATCTTATGTATCGAACTGTGAAAGAAGCGATTATTTAAATCCCCACTGGAAGGCCTCTGACCACACTGAGTGAGCGTAAAATCATTGTTATCGATAGCCGGAGACAAACAAGTTAAATGTAAATGATTCGGTATTATTAAAAACATAATCATTACGGCTGTCCACACTGTTATGGGACTACCTCTTTGTTTTTCGGGCTGTGCGTCCGTTCGTTCGTTCGTCCGTTCGTTCGTCCGTCCGTTCGTCCGTCTGTCCCGTTTCAGGTTAAAGTTTTTGGTCAAGGTAGTTATTGATGAAGTTGAAGTCCAAACAACTTGAAACTTAGTACTCATGTTCCCTATGATATGATCTTTCTAATTTTAATGCCAAATTAGAGTTTTGATCCCAATTTCACGGTCCACTGAACATAGAAAATGATAGTGCGAGTGGGGCATCCGTGTACTATGGACACATTCTTGTTTTTCAATGGTCTAAAACATGACAAACATTTTGAAAAGATGCTAATTCTTTTCAACATTTGATTTTTTTCTAAATTTGAATTTAGTAATAGCAGGCGTTGTTCCAAAATTTCGCATATATTTGTACAGTATTTTTGTACACGTTGGATTGTTGATGCATACATGTAGGTCTGGTTCATAACGTAGTGCGCCTAAAACGCATCTTTCGCATGTTTAAAATCCCAAACCCTTATAACTTCTCCTGTAACAAAACTCTGAAGACTTTGGAAAATGCCATCTTTAATACAATTTCTTAATTCAGAAATAAATATTCGATTCGTATCTTTAAACGAATGTACCATCCACTTATTAGCTAGACCTTATGTACTAGGATAACATAAATAATACATTGTATTGTAGATTTTGTTTATGAATAACTATACTAATTTACCGTTGTCATATTATATATACTGAGATTGCAGCTCCCTTATGCAAATGTTGCCATAGTCTGCTTTAGCTGTTCTGTTTAGTCAGTTTTTCTTCAAAATGATTTTTCTATTTCGCTTTGGAGATATTTGTTTACATTAGTGTCCCGGATGAAGGTTATTAAAGAAACGCGTGATGTCAGGCAACAGTTGCATCGATATCATGTGCATGTCTACATGTATAATCTGGGGAAACAATTTATAAGAAGAAACTTTAAGGATAATAAGCTCCATATATTTAATGTAAAGGTGAACATTTTATTGAGATAAAATTTCCTGCTTGATATGAGAATGTGCGGTTTAAAGACCTTAGATATACAAATATAAGAAGTGGTATAATTGCACATAAAACAATAACTATCCACCAATGACTTCAGAATGAGAAAGGGAACATCTACATATGTCTCTTTACAGTCCACAGCCCTGTTGAGTTGTTGTCAAATTGACGTATACCCGGGAACTCACTTTTCTACTTTAAGGAACAAAACCAATAACTCATAGTCCCATTGGTTTCTATGTTAAATTCTGCAATTTCCAGCGTTCATAGCTATTGTGTCTTAAAAGTTCAAATATAGTGAGAGTCATTTCATGTCAAAACTATACCTTATTCTGACTTGTGCTGAACAATTCAACATACCTGTAGTTGCATATTAGAGCGCGGTGGTTCCCGGAAGTTTTGTTAGTACAATATTTTTACTTATTGACAAAGTTACAGTTATGCGTAGGAACTATTTTATCACTTTCAAGTGTGTTCCTTCGGACCGGGTCGGAATTAGTGGTTCTATACCGTAAAGGTCACTCTCGAACCAGTATACCCTGTAAAGTCAGAAAAAAATTAAATAGGCATGACTTTTCTTTCGATGTAATATGTGTTCCAGTCCTTATAATGATGATACGTTCTCTTATGTGCCGCTTGGTCAATCCGTCTATGCATAGATCCAATTGTGCCTTAGTGCTGCATTCTCTGCTAAAACTTATTAAAGGTACGGATGGCAAAATTCTAACTGACAGTGCAATTATTGTACATATGATATCTTCGTTTTGATCATTCATTGTTAGTTGTGTACTTTGATCATGTCTTTGATGGTTACATCTATGATTAAGGGTTTAAAAAAGTACAAACTTTAAAAGAATTCCACAGTTCAAACACCCCATGTATTGTTTAGAAATGTTCTTCCAAAAAATTGCTACGCCCCGTTTAAGCAAATTAGGCTTTCGAAGTATTTTTTGTTACAATTAAAACTGTCTACAGTCGAAATTAGATACTTTGTCAAAAAAGGAAGAATGTTAATTTCTGAAATAGAACATGTAGAAAATTATAGCTTTGTAAATTAATGCCAATGGCTTTTCTGTCGTTTTCTTGTCACTATTTTCTTGTTAGTGGCAGTACACAGGGGCAATCATCTAATTAAAACCTGATCATGTAATGGTTTGCTATTCAGGGAGATTAATTATTGGCGAGATATATTGGAAAATTCCGGTGATATTACAAATCATTTTCATAATTGTCTCATTTCTTTTATTGATATATGAGCCCAATACATGTAAACATTTCTCCGTGCATTATTCTTACTGATGCAAAACGAAGAAGCATCATTGTTTGAATTTCCAAGTTTAAGAAAAGTCTCTTTGTGTCGACATACACGTTTTTTACATACTGTGATGAACTTGGACCTATGCGAGAAACTATGTATTTATTGTAAAGATAATAAAATTATCAGTAAAAGCTACATTCTTTGTGTAACATTTTCCTGTAATTGATCTTAACTATCACAAAAGATCGCTATAAAACAATTGATCACAATCAATTAAATTTAAAAATAAAAAGATACAATTTCTTCAAGGATTAAAGCAACATTAAGTGCAGTGTTATAATGCATTACTGTCACTACAAGCTGATGTATATTTCAATTAACAATTGCCCAGTAGTTAAAGATTAGTTTTCTGATTTTTGAGAAACGGTCAATACAACCACGTTCCTGATTGGATCTTCATTTCCGGATTGGAAAAGTAATAGCAAAAGACAAACGCAAGAGGGCGGGAACTTCGATATCAAGTATATGTAAATTGATTTTCGTGTAAATCACCGACGAGCCCCGAGAATCAGCTAGAGTAAAAATTGTAAATAAGATTAAATGTGCTATATTATACTTTGACCTTTGATGAAATGATTTTGGATTTAAAAGTATGTTAGTCATATGGAAATTGATACCAAAGTTGTAAACTTTGTATAACTCTGAATGAAAGTGTCTACTGATTGTGGTTAAGTTTCTACAGAACTTCTAAAACTTTGGAATAAAAAAACTGTGTCACAGTTTCTGGAGGCATTATGCTATACACATTTTATCTTTTCTTAATTTAAGTTACAGTTGTTAACAGTTGGATATAAATTCGCAGCTGAGAAAAGATGGAAAACTTGAAGCGAACTTTTTTATTTCCAGTTTTTATCTGCTATATTTTAATGTGCTGCCTTCCAGGTTAGTATTTATGTTATTTCATTCTATTTTGTTCTTAAATACATTAATATGTATGAATGTTTTACAGGTTAATTTAGTTTGATGTTAAAAAGTTTCTATCTATAAAAATTCACAGTTCACGGATGAGCAATGTATTGTTTTTATACGACCGTTATTATGTATTTATGCATTCGATTTGTCTCAGCATACAATGATGACACGTTTGATAGGTCACACCTGCATTTTTTGAACTGCAGGAGCACATGGGTATTAAATGCAATCGCTGTAAAAATAAAGATGATTTAGGGAATTTTTTTACGTAACTTTTCTTGTGGATTTGCTATTCATCTTAAATGTTTCCGAAATCTATTTATTACCTTCTATATGTCGTTTTCCTTGACATTTTATGGGAAATGAAGCATGTTATCTTTTAATTAAGATTCCAGTAGCATGCAATCTGTAGCGTATGCTTCTGTTCAATGTTATCATTTTATTGTACCTAGAAAAGAGATAGAAAAACAATAAACATATCAGATAGGTCAGATTTCATATGCTGTTTATTTCTTTTTAATTGAAAAATAACATTGCTTCTCTTAAAGTGTAATGACCACCCGTATTTTGATTAAACAACTTTTATTCATTTTAACTAGCGTGCATTTGTTTGTGTACTTTGTGCATACTTTCTTAAAGATTTGTCAGTTGACTGCACAAAAGTTAAATCAAAGAGAAAAGCACCGAAAAACATAATATTTAGATTTTATCAGAATTTCATTGCACTTACAAAGACATTTCAGCACAAAACGTTATCGTAACGGGTCAGCATGAGTGTACAGAAAGTTCTTTAAACTTTTAAATACGTTTTACAATTTAATGTAATTTGTTCTACCTGGTTTTTTTCTTTAGACTTTTATCTCAATTTATAATGTTCATGTATTTTTTCGTTTTCTTGTTCATAATTTTGAACAGTGTAGCAATTTTTTTTTACATGTGAATTTTGTATGCAACAAATCCATTTTGAATTATAAAGCACACTATATTTCAATTTATGTTTACGCAAGCTTATCTGAATAGTGTTATAATGACGAAAGAATTAGTAATTTTTAATCAGACGTTTCCAAATATTCTTGCTATTAAGTTTACATTTTATAGTGCAGGACATCGGCAGTCAACAGCAATCATTCAAAAATTGAAATTTCCAGCACAAAGCATTATTTCAATATTTGCTTATTTTGTGAAAGTACATATATTTATTCCCGTCGGGTTGAGTTTGTTGTTCAATACACAATTCGAGTTTCCCCCGCATACACGCACCGGCCCCTGCTCTTTATGGCTATAAACATCATTATCATTTTGATAGAACCTGATATTCATAATATCTTTTATTGAATAATCATACTAGTGTAGTTTTCAGCTTATATTATTAGAAATATGACCCAGATAAACTTTTACTTGTAGTCGCTTGATTTATTGTTTTTGTATGACAAGAATCTGCTCAAGCCCACATGGTTAACGCTGTTATTGATTTCGTCACGCGACTTCACGTCTGCTACTTTTATAATTAATATCTATTAATACGCACCACCATGCATGTAAAGTATATTCGATCTTAGAACAATCCTTTTGTGGTAAAATGTTTCTTTGGCACGTGCCTTAAAGCACAACACGTGCGCACATACTTTACATTTACCATTCAGTTTATTGTGGTCTCATTTTACATACGTGGTTCGTTGATCAAGTCAGTAATTGTTTTTCAAAATGACAACTTGTTACTATGATTCAACAGTATTTCATAGATACAATAAAATTGAGAATGGAAACGGGGAATGCGTCAAAAGAGACAACAATCCGACCAAAGAGCAGAAAACAGCACAAGGCCACCAATGGGTCTTCAACATACAATGTATACTTATATAGCTTTGATGCGCTGATCTCCTTTAGAAATATAATCAATCAATCACAAATCATATATTGAATTTTGCAAAAGGATCTAAAGCAAACACGGAAATCATAATCAGTCTTACCCTCGGAGTCTTACTTATAGCTTCCATAAAAAAGACACCCAATTCTGAAATTGAACATTTTGTCTTTTAATTATGCTTAACACTTTAAAGATTGGGAATTATTTACTTTAATCCATTCGGTTTGTATTAAGCTAGACATCTATTTGATGGGGAATGTATATTTAATTAAAAGGCCAAACAAAAGCTATTCGTGTGTAGGGTGGCTTTCAGAAAAATTGTTTTTTTCTTCTAATTTACTAGTTTTTAAATCTTGATTTTTATCGGGATTATACTTGCAATTTTAAATGTTCGCAAGGTTTAGTCTAACACTTATCGGTTATAATGGTTTTGATTTTTGTTAAATATTTGATTTAGAGCTTCAAACTAATGCATTCAATGAAAAGCTGCAAAAAATTGCAAAACTTCCTTATTCTGATACCTTCCTATCTATATTTAGATCTGAACACAGAAGATATTTTGAGATGTTTACATGTAACACAAAAATGCAGATGTGAGACAATAATTATATATTTTTTGGTCAAGTTAAATTGATCAAATTTTGTTATAATGAAAACTATGTACCGAAAATTGTCATTTGCTGGTAAAATATGACAACATCTGTATGATGTCACGACGACACATATCACTTAAAATGACCATTCTTTCAACCGTATTATTTTGTTAAATTCCCATAGCTTTGAAAAAGTTGATGCACAGTTTCAGAAGCAAAATAAAGGCCTCCCCCTTTTCTCAATAATTGATGAAATCACGATGTCATTCTATACTGATGCTAGTAAACAGTAATAATAAAACCCAAGCAAACAAGTTCAGTTTAAATTTACGCTTTCTCAATAGTAAAAAGGCGACTAAAACTCGGTTATTAAACATTTCAATATAGTCACTTAAAGTAAGTATTCAAACCTTTCATGCAACTTAATCAAAATAAAGGTAATTATAAACAGTAAACGACTTGTTTGAATTGTTTTACATTTGTCATTTCGGGGCCTTTTATATCTGACTATGGGGTATGGGTTTTGCTCATTATTGAAGTCCGTACGGTGATATATATAGAAGTTAACTTCTAAGTCCTTTGTCTCTGATGGAGAATTGTGACATTGGCAATCATACCACTTCTTCTTATCTTTATATGAAAAACACATGAACAGTAGCTTTACAGCGATAACGGTATCGGTATGAATGTCACACGTGACTTTCCAGCTTATTAATACGTGTTTTTTGCCTTTTCGACAGAGAGAAAGATCTCCCAATACAGTGCAATGTCGCAAAAAAATGAATGATAGTTTTACAACTACGGTTCAATTTTCATATTTGAAAATGTCAGAACATTGCAATCTCACTGAAGATCATCAATTCTATCAACAGATGTTTGATATCATAATAGATCGACATTAGCAATTAAGTTAGTTTATATGTCACATAAGAGCTAATACCAAAAGAGTACACTATTAAAAAGGAAGTTGATGAACGATGTTAGACAAATCATTGTTTTGGGGTTTGTTTTTTTTTTTTAGATTTGTCTATCTTGTAGTATAGTTAAAATTGATGTAGTTATTTAGTAGTTGTACAAACAATGTTATTTTTCGTGTAACGACACGTTGTCGTATATGAATTTGGTACAAAATCAAACTTTGCTTCTTTCTGAAAATTTAATCTAAAATGACACCATATTAAAAAAGTCACAGATTTTTTTGAAAATAGCTCCTGCAACAATGTTTGGATTTGTGGTTACTGACTTGCAGTGATTAAGCCTCTCTCTGTAATTTACTTCCGGTGTCATTGCCATCTTGTTTATCAAATGTCAGAATGAATTTATCTAGCAATTATTATAAATTTTCAGCATCAATAAAGGTCGAAACGTGTTTTCTCTTTCATTCCCAGAGTAGACAATCATATTAGATAGGTACGGTATGTGAATGCTGATCAAGTATGACATTAAGCTTGGTTGATGTTAGACTTCGATCACTTAATGACCAGTTTGGGCATTATGTGCAGTCGTTTCAAGATGATACGAAGGGCCTCTTTTGTAAGGATTATGTCAAATATAGTACTTTATCAATAACATCTCATATTCCCCATTGACATCTTGAAATCATAATTCTTATGAAATTGCATTTGATGTATGTGTCTTGTGTCTTACCACGTGTGTTACAGAAGTGCCATTAATCTGACTTACCATACTACATATGTACGTAATGTAAAACTGAAATACCTTGAAATCTTTTAAAAAAAAACAATAGTACTAGTATATTAAGTTTTTTTTTAATAATGTTTATAACAAATCAGACAAGGTCTGTAAATGCCAGATTAAACTTGATGAATGAAAATTGATACCTACCGAATAGATTGCCATCATTTCCTAATTAGGACATACATGTAACCTACAACAAAACAAAAGAAAACACACATTTAGGATACAATTGTAAAATATATTTAAAAGTTTATGCAAATTTTCTTTTTTCCATCTATTCTACTTCGGGGTTTTTATAATTTCTTTTTTCGGGGGATTCTTGTCACTGGAGTTGCAGGATAAACTGTCTTCTTCGCTCGTTTGTCTTTTAACATTTTCCTAACTTGTAAACTTTTTAATGATTTATTTATTTATTTGATTAAATACAATAGTTTTCTCGGTATAAAATTTTCATTTCGAAGGATAAAATTTCATTAAAACGTCGGTGGTAATGTACAATGAGAAATTTAATTATATTTGTTCACCTACACGTGAGTAGTAACATCAACGTAATCAAGACTTCATTCTATATCAATCAAATAATTTAAGAAAAAAATACAATTTTAAAAGTACACTATGGAATCTAAGATTATATGAAGATTTCATTTAATATCTTTTACATTCTAAATCTTAACATAATTTGTAAGTAAAACAAATAATCGTTATCCAGTATTTCCGCACGTGTCAGCTTCAGTTTTTCATATTAGATTTCAATAATTTAAAAAGTACAATCCTTAGAGGTACATTTCAGAGGCACTTCAAAAGTGCTCGTT